CTCCAAATACTGGCCATTTATATGCTGACTACTGCTGCTGATTGCTGCTTCTGATTGTGGAGGAATGAGAGGCAGGCAGCCATTGTTGCACCCTCCTCCCATTATTTTAAATTCCTCCCCCTCCAGCTGAAGCAGTGTCCTTTAGTTTATAAGACTGACATCCTTCTCCACCTCACCTTACGTTTTACTTTTTGCAGAGCCAGACATCAAAGAGTAGAATGTGCAAAAGCAACTGCATATACAAGGAAAATTAGAAAATCAACATGTGGGGTCAGCAGGTGGCATGGTGATTAAGGCACTGGACTCCCACATGGCTGACTGATTTCAGTCCTAGATCTGGCAGTTTGCTTTCTTGCTTTCTCTCTCTCTCTCTCTCTCATGAATGTACATGCCCTGTAGCAAATTTAAATAATAATAATAATAGTTATGAATAAAATTAAATAATTATTTTTTAAAAAATAAGAAAAAAAAAAAAGAAATAAATGTGCATGTCCAGGTAAAGTTGTAATCCCATAAAAGACCTTAAATTTATAACTCAGGATATTCTTGGGCATTGAGATAGACTACAATAATAAAAATGCAAAACCAAAACAGCAGATTCTGGGTAGGGAGAAGAATCTGGTTTTCCAGAATTTTCATATTCAAATGTCTGGTATAATTTTTTTAAACACAAAGTCATAAAAATAAAAAAAATGAATCTTAAAAAAATTTTTAATTACCTGATAAATACAAAGAAACAGGGACATATGGCCTATTCAATGGAAAACACACACACACACACACACACACACACACAAGAAAAACCAACAGATATTGTCCTTAAGGACCAGAAGGCAGATCAACTAGACAAAGACTTTAAAACAACTGACTTATGCTCAAAGAGAGTCAGCCAGGTGGCATGATGGTTAAGGCAGATAGATCCCACATGGCTGAGTGTACAGTCTGAGTCCTGGACCTGGTTGCTTGGAAAATATGTGAGGCATGTATGTGTGCATGGTCAAAATCCCAAGAGGAGAATGGAGGAGAAGGGACTGTGGCATGGCTATCCCCCTAAGGGGGTGCTTTTCAGTTTCCCTAATTTTCCTCTCTGTCTCTCTACCATGAGAACATGTACCCTATAGCAAAAACTGGATCACAAAAAAAAAAAAAAAAAAAAAAAGGATGCTGAAAGAGCTAAGGGAAGATGTGGATAAAGTAAAGAAAATATGTAAATATAGTTGCTAATATCCATAAAGAGAAAACATAAAAAAAGGAAATTCTAGAGTTGAAAAAGACAATAATAAAAATGAGCAATTCATTAGAGAAATTCAGAGGCAGATGAGAGCAGGTAGAAGAAAGAATCAGTGAACTTGAAGATAGGATGATTGAAACTATTGAGCCTGAGGAAAGAAAAAATAAAGAAAAGTGAATAGATCTTAAGTACTCTGTGGTATATCATCAAGCAGACTAACATACACACTGGGAGACCAAAGGGAAGGGGAAGAGAATATTCAAAGAAGCAATGGCCCCCAATTTTCCAAGTTTGATGAAAGATAGGAATATAAATATCCAAAGAACTCAGTGAACTCCAAAAGGATCAATTAAAAAAGATCCACACTAAGACACATTGTAATTAAACTGCCAAAGGAGAGAATCTTGACAGCAGCAACAAAGAAGCAACTCATTACATACAAGGAATCCTGATTAAGATTACCAGCATATTTTTCTGCCAAAGATTTATTTATAGGAAACCAATAAAGGCATTGATAATCTATTCCATGAAATCTTGGAAGAAAGCTTTCCAAATCTAAAGAGGCATTCAAATATCCAGACCCAAGATATACAAAGGGCCCCTAATAGAATCTACCCAAGAAGATCTTCTCCAAGGCACATCATAGCCAGACTGGTCAAATCTATAGACAAAGACAAGATACTAAAATTAGCAAGAGAAACCTCAGGTTACTTATAAAGGTTATCCTATCAGGCTAACCTCAGACCTCTCATCAGAAACAATGTGAGCAAGGAAAGAATGGGAAAATATATTCAAAATGTTAAGTGAAAAACTGTTTCAACCAAGAATACAATACCCAGCAAGATTATCTTTCATATGGAAAGAAAGAATAAAAACATTTTCAGATAAACAAGACTTGAAAGAATTTGCCAGTAAAAGACCCACTCTTCAGGAAATTCTGAAAAGAGTGCTTTACCAGGAAAACTAAAAACACACATACAGAAATAAAAGAACAAAAAGCAACCAAGAAAATGACCAATTTAATGCTAGGGACAGGAAATATCAATAACAATGCAGAATGTTAACTTCCAGGATTTAAATGGAAAGATTGGACCACAGCAGCACTGCATATTCAACAGAAGAGGGTTTGAACATAAGACTGAACTGGCAAAATAGAATTTTATGACTTTCGAGTAAAGCATTACTGATTTTTTCTTTTTACTATGCTTTGTTTTCCCAATTTAAACATTTTAGTTTCTTTTCAGTTGTTGATAGATGTAGCAATGTCTTAAAATATTTTTCTTGTTTGTTTCTTTAAATGAAAACATAAACTTTTCTTTTCTTGATCCCTCTGGAATTGGAAAATATTTGGTAATCTTATTTTGTGGGAGAAGGGTTATTTGCATAAGTTCAGTAACGCTTGTTGCATTGATTCAGAAATCGGAAATACTCATTATTGGACAGGGCTTTGACTGGAATGTCATATCTGAAGATTAATCAGAAAACTATGGAATTAAGGTGGATCTCAAGCTAACAGAAGCTCTTAGAAAGATGGCCTGGTATGATAAATCATTCTGACTGGCAGAGAGGATTAGAGAAGATATATGAAAGAATTTATAACATAAAATAACCTGGACTTTTCCAGCCCAGCATTGTAATCAGCAGAGATTGCAAAAGAGCAACCACACCAGAGAATTATATTGAGAAAGACTTTGAAGGAAGAAAAAGAGACTGATCTTTGCTAGCAGATGATATATCACAGAATACTTGGTAGAGCAGGGCTGGATTAAGAAGGTTTATGTGTGACTAGTATGCTGGGCATTTGCTTTTCAACAATTTGAGTAGTTGACATGTAAATATTTTCTCAATAATACTTAAAACCATATGGTTTCTGTTTATAGAGTCACAAATAAAACTTTAGAAAATTATAAGAAATATTTTGAACATTATCTTTAAAATTCAGTATTTTGAAATTTTGAAAGTTGTTTATTAAATTTCAATAACTATGGGGTATGGGACCAGCAGTTAGCATAATGGCTATGTGGCTGGACTCCCATGTAGTCGACCGTGGTTCGCATCCCAGACCTGGTGGCTTAAAACGCCCAGCGCGTGTGCATGCATGCCCAAGATCCTAAGAGGAGAATGGAGGAGAAGGGATTACAACATGGCAATCCCCCCTGGGGGTGATTTCTCGCTTTCCGTCTCTCTGTCTCTCTGGCGAGCACACACGCCCTAAAGCAAAAACCTCTCCAAAAAAAAAAAAAACAAAAAACTATGGGGTATGAGTTAAAATTTTTTGATATGTAAAGTAAATTGTGGAAAAATGTAAAAACAAATTAGATAAATGAATAAATAAATAAGAGAAAAAAATTAAGATGTTAAAAAAAGATTTATTTATTTAATTCCATTTGTTATTATTTTTAAATTTGACCAGAGAGAGAAAGAAAGGAAAAGTGAGAAAGCAAGCCACCAGGTCTGGGACTAGAACCATGCTTGGCCATATGGGAATCCAGTGCCCTCAACCACTATGCCATGTGCTGGCCCCACCAGCATATTTTCTTTTCTTTTCTTTTTTTTCTTTTCTTTTTTTTTTTTTAGCTATAGGGCACGTGCGCTCGCCAGACAGAGACAGAGACAGAGAGATAGAAAGCGAGAAATCACCCCCCAGGGGGGGTTGCCAAGTT